ACCTTGACCCCTACCTCCCGCTTGGCGGTTTCCCTGTCCGCCAACCCCCTTTGCGCCCGGTCCTCGGCCTCCCATAGCCTGACCCCTTTGGCCCTGGCCTCCTCCTCCTCCTTGCGGCCTCCCTCCATCCGCGAGAGCAGCGTAAGACCTCCCCTGCCCCACACTACTGCCATCATCTTCAAGGCCGCACTCAATCTGGTCATATGGGACCTCATCGGTACCACCTTCTTCTAATGTCAGGATCATGTGATCCTTGGCCTTTACTTGGCCTGAGATGGTACGATTCTTCCACTTCTTCCCCTTCTCTAAGTCCTTATGCCAGAAAGTGGTAACTGGCATAGACTTCGACTCATACAGGACGACTTCGCGACTTAATTGATCGTATGTGATGTCGGCCTGTTGAGACTTGTCAAAGAAATGCCCACGTAGGGCCTCAGGAATTGCACGATAAAACAACTGAACCAGTTGGGGCTCAGTAACCCCATGGTCCGGGACGGCTACCAAGTCGTCCATGGTACCCTTGAGTGCCTTGGCACTCCTCCATTGCCGTGAGTGGATCATTTGAAGCTTGTCAGAGGCTCTTATGCCTCTCGTTGGGTCAGCAAAACGCTCCTTGAGGAGCCTGAGGAATTSGGAAAGAGGGGTGACTTTAGAATATGCAACCAGGTTGTTTTCACAATCGGCTGTACGCTCGAGAGACCTGGCGAAGCTAGCCGCTTCGTCCTTAAGGGCCTGGAAGGCCACGAGGACTTGCTCCTCCATCAGGATATGCTGTAAATAAATATAACTATTGACACTGGCCTCCAAGTTGTCAAAGTTCTCATCCTTCTTCCCCCCGTACGCATCTGGGAACTTAAGTTTCACTGGGTCCTTACGAGGTCTGGCCTCTCCTTCTACAGCGGCTGCAGCTTTGGCACCCTGAATGGCGCCCTCACAAAACTTCCCTACGTTGTCTCTCAATTGCTTGACTTCGCCCCCAATATGGGTGACGATTTTGCGCGCAAAATCCCTGAACCCGGACCGCATGGCACTCAACGCTACATCCTGGATCCAGCTTGCCTGGCGCTCCTCCATCCAGGCCTTGCTCAACACCTCTAGATAGCCCAGTACTTTGTCCCACTTGGCCTTATCATCTAGCTGGGCCAACACCTCTGCTCTACACTCCTGCACCTTCACCACTGCTGCGGTCATCTTATTCACTTCCTCTCTCCTCCTCTTCTTCTCCCTCTTCATTCTCAACTTCCATGCTAACTTTTGCTCGTCTTCCCTCTCTCTTCGTTCCATTGGGTCTGTCATGGCTGCTAGCTCAGCGGCCAGCGCAACCTTCCATCCTTAGTCACATAGGACTCCGCCTCCTCATCTTCCCCCAACGATAAATTAGCGACCCACTTACTGATCTTCTTCTCCAACTCAGTATCTGTCTCCCACTTCATCGTGCCACCACTACTTCCTTCCCCACTCTCAATTCTCATTCTCTCTTTCTCTTCTTCTGCGGCCGCTTCTGCTTCAGCAACCTTCCTTCTTTCTTCCTCCTCCTGTTGTACCCTCTTCATCTCCTTCTCCAATATCTTCATATTCGCCGCCTGCTCGTCTGCAATAGCCTTTAGCTTGGCTTGCTTTTCACGCTCTTTCCTCTCCTTATTCTCTTTGACTAAGGCGGTCATCTTTTCTTGCTGCTCTGTGGTGTAGGGGCTAGTCTCCTTCCCACTACGGGTCTCAACCATGGTGATAAGTGTACAACCGGGTTAGTGGTTCCAAACCTCACCACGTAGACGTCAACCCCTGACTGACATACCTACTGACTCAATCTAAGACTCACAGAATCCTAACAGGGATCCTGTCAACTATGGTCTCTAGCCTAGACCTATGCTATGGCTATCACTACTGAACCAGCGGCTGATCAAGAGGCATTTAAGGAGATCCCCCGTAACTCCTCAAGAATTCTTTAACGTCGCAGACAGGAGGACGTGATCAGCTTGGTTCTGCCTGTGCTTTCAGCCCACAACTCAGCCTTTCCAGCCTACTGTGCCACACCGAGCAGCCCGCCGGTCTGTACCGGTCCTTGGGAGGGTTCGTATCCCCCGGGACAGTCGAGTCGTCAGACACAGATCATCA